ATCAGAAACTACCAGTTCCTTATGCTATTCGATCAGCAGCTGAGCACGAATTAAACCGACTAATTAAGCTAGGTATTCTTAAACCTGTCGTTTAATCTGAATGGCAGCCCCAATTGTAGTGGTAAAAAAAGGCAATGGCACTATCCGTTTATGCGCTGATTTCTCTACTGGGCTGAATGCCGCATTAGATGTACATCAATTTCCTCTACCAAATCCGGAAGATATTTTGCGACTTTGAATGGAGCCCGTGTGTTCTCACATCTCGACTTGTCCAACGCCTACTCTCAGATTAAACTTGATAAAGAAGCCAAGAAATTGCTAGTGATCAACACAAATTTAGACCTTTTTCAATATAACAGGCTACCATTTGGTGTTAGTTCAACACCAGCCATTTTTCAACAAACCATGTCGCAAGTCACTGCAGGTCTTATAGGAGTAGCAGCCTATCTAACAGACATTCTTATTTCTGCAAGTACTCGGTCAGAACATATCAAACGGCTTCGTGAAGTTTTTAAGAGATTACAGTTGTCCGGGTTCCGCCTTCAAGAAAAAAAATGTTCTTTTGTATTTTCTTCAGTACACTACTTAGGGTTCATTCTCGATTGTGACGGTATCAAGCCCGATCCGGATAAAATTCAAGCTATTAAAAACATGCGGAGCTCTTGCCGGTCGACGGCCCCATATATACATTTTGAAAGAGGTCCCTTCTCTTGGCAAGCTGCGACTGGAGCGAGATCACTGTCGTCGCAGTTCAAGCAGCCGAGGAGACATGTCGACCGTGTCAACCTTGGCTAAGGGCTGATAAGTCCCCTTATAATGCCGGAAATGAGAACTATCCAGTTGCAGAATTATAATTAATTGTGAAACAATATGGACGGGTTTGACCTTTTGTAGCCAGAACTTATTAAGTAACGTGGAACATCAGTTCGAGGCAAATGAGGCGATGACGTCACGCCAGCAATGCAAAAAATGTTTAGTTACTCAATTTTGAGGTAAGCTGTGCAGTGTGACAAGTGTGAGACATTATATACAAATTTGACCTTTTGTAGCAATAGGTTATTAAGTAACGTGGAACAGCAGTCTG